TTACCATTTGTAGAAAAGTGAATCATATTTACCCCGACCGGGAACAAGTAAGCACATTAACATATGCAAAACATGTATCACAGTTACCCCGACCGTGACTTGAACCTGGTACTTATAATCACTAACCATAGGCTCTACCAACTACACCACAGCAGGTTGAAAGGAAACAGCCCTTTCAGCTTATATCTGCTATACTAGGAATAAACGTATTCTATCTAAATGTCTCTATGTTCAAATTACACTTTCCCCAACCTCGCATGTGGTTCATTTTCGCATTTAATTCAACTCCCAATCTCATTCGAGACCAACAATGACCAAATAAACAAATTAACATTTGTGAAAACATGAATCATTTTTCCCCCGACCGGGACTTAAAGCTGAGACTTTTAATTACTAAGACAAGGCGCTACCAACTACACCACAGAAGATTAAAAGCAAACAGACTTTACAGCTTATATCTTCTATACTTGGAATGAACTCATTCTATCTGAATCCTACTATGTTCATATTTCAGTTTTCCCAACCTCTCTCATGGTTCGTATTAGCATTTACTTCAACTCCCAATATCATTTGGGACCAACAATAACCAAATAAGCACATTACCATATGTTAATACATGAGTAATTTTTACCCCGTCCAGGACTTGAAACTGTGACTTATAATTACTAAGCCAAGGCGCTACCAACTACACCACAGAAGGTTAATTGGAAATAGACTTTACAGCTTATATCAGCTATAATAGTTTTTCCACCATTGCTCGTAGTTTGTTTTATCATTTAATTTAACTCCCAGTCTCATTCAGTACCAACAATAACCAAATAAGCAAATTATCATATGTAAAAATATGAATCATATTTACCCCGACCGGGAACAAGTAAGCACATTATCATATGTAAAACATGAATCACATTTAACTCGACCGTGACTTGAACCTGGTACTTATATTAACTAACCCAAGGCTCTATCAACTACACCACAGAAGGTTGAAAGGAAACAGACTTTACAGCTTATATCTGCTATACAAGGAATGAATGTATTCTATCTAAACGTCTCAGTGTTCAAATTACACATTCCCCATCCTCTCTCGTGGTTCTTTTTCGCATTTAATTCAACTCCCAATTCATTCATGACCTACAATGAACAAATAAACACATTACTTTATAATAACCATTTAAGCACATTACATATGTGAAAACATGAGTCATTTTTTACTTTGACTGGGACTCGAACCTAGGACTTATAATAACTAAGTCAAGGCGCTACCAACTACACACCACAGAATGTAAAAGGAATCCAACCGTATAACTTATATCTGCTATACTTAGGAATGTACGCATTCTGTCTGAATGCCACTATGTTCATATTACAGATTCCCGAACCACAATCGTGGCAAACATGAATCATTTATTACCCCGACTGGAACTCGAACCTAGGACTTATAATTACTAAGTCAAGGCGATGCCAACTACACACCACAGAAGGTAAAGGGAATCCAACCTTATAGCTTATATCTGCTATACTTAGGAATGAACGCATTCTATCTTAATGCCACTATGTTCATATTACTGATTCCCCAACCTCACTCGTGGCTTCATTTTCGCATTTAACTCAATTCCCAATCTCATTCGGGCAATACAATAACCATTTAAGCACATTACATATGTGAAAACATGAATCATTTTTTACCCAGACTGGTACTCAAACCTAGGACTTATAAGTACTAAGTCAAGGCACTACCAACTACACACCACAGAACGTAAAAGGAATCCAACCTTATAGCTTATATCTGGTATACTTAGGAATGAATGCATTCTATCTGAATGCCACTATGTTCATATTACAGATTTCCCAACCTCACACATGGCTTCATTTTTGCATTTAATTCAATTTCTAATCTCTTTCGAGCAATACAATAATCATTTAAGCACATTACATATGTGAAAACATTAATCATTATTTATCCCTACTTGAACTCGAACCGAGTGAAGTTGGGGAATTTGTAATATGAACAGAGTTTCATTCAGATAGAATGCATTCATTCCTAAGTATAGCATATATAAGCTATAAGGTTGGATTCCTTTTACCTTATGTGGTGTATAGTTGGTAGCACCTTGGTTTAGTAATTATATGTCCTAGGTTCAAGTCCTAGTCGGGGTAAAAAATGATTCATATTTTCACATATGTAATTTGCTTAAATGGTTATTGTATTGCCCGAATGAGATTGGGAATTGAATTAAATGCGAAAATGAAACCAAAAGTGAGGTTGGGGAATCTGTAATATGAACATATAGGCATTGAGATAGAATGCATTCATTCCTAAGTATAGCAGATATATGCTATAAGTTGGATTCCTTTTACCTTCTGTGGTGTATAGTTGGTAGCGCCTTGACTTAGTAATTATAAGTCCTAGGTTCGAGTCCTAGTCGGGGTAAAAAATGATTCATGTTTTCACATATGTAATGTGCTTAAATGGTAATTGTATTGCCCGAATGAGACTGGGAATTGAATTAAAAACGACAATGAAGCCTCGAGCGAGGTTGAGGAATCTGTAATATGAACATGGTGGCATTCAGATAGAATGCGTTCATTCCTAAGTATAGCAGATATAAGATATAAGGTTGGATTCCTTTTATCTTCTGTGGTGTGTAGTTGGTAGCGAGTTGACTTAGTAATTATAAATCCTAGCTTTGAGTCCCAGTTGGGGTAAAAAATGATTCATGTTTTCAAATATGTAATGAGCTTAAATGGTTATTGTATTGCCCTGAATGAGATTGGGAATTGAATTAAATGCAAAAATAAAGCCACGAGTGAGGTTGGGGAATCTGTAATATGAAAATAGTGGCATTCAGATAGAATGCGTTCATTCCTTAGTATGGCAGATATAAGCTATAAGGCTGGATTCTCTTTTCCTTCTGTGCTCTGCAGTTGGTAGTGCCCTGATTTAATAATTATAAGTCCTAGGTTCGAGTCCCAGTCGGGGTAAAAAATGATTCATGTTTTCACATATGTAATGTGCTTAAATGGTTATTGTATTGCCTGAATGAGATTGGGAATTGAATTAAATGCGAAAATGAAGTCAAGAGTGAGGTTAGGGAATCTGTAATATGAATATAGTGGCATTCAGATAAAATGCGTTCATTCGTAAGTATAGCAAATATAGGCTATAAGGTTGGATTCCTTTTACCTTCTGTGGTATGTCATTGGTAGCGCCTTGACTTAGTAATTATAAGACCTAAGTTCGAGTCTCAGTCAGGGTAAAAAAATGGTTCATGTTTTTACATATGTAATGTGCTTAAATGGTTATTGTATTGCCCGAATGAGATTGGGATTTGAATTAAATGCGAAAATGAAGCCAAGAGTTAGGTTGGGGAATCTGTAATATGAACGTAGTGGCATTCGGAGAGAATGCGTTCATTCCTAAGTATAGCAGATATAAGCTATAAAGTTGGATTTCTTTTACCTTTTTTGGTGTGTATTTGGTAGTGCCTTGACTTTGTAATTATAACTCCTAGGTTCGAGTCCCAGTTGGGATAAAATATGATTCACATTACTATATGTGAAAACATGAATCAAATTTTCCCGACTGGGACTTAAACTCTGAGACTTTTAATTACTAAACCAAGTCGCTACCAACTATACCAAAGAAGATTAAAAGGAAACAGACCTTACAGTTTATGTCTGCTCTACTTGGAATGAAAGCAATCTATCTGAATGCCACTTTGTTCATATGACTGTTTCCCTAACCTTACTCGTGGTTCATTTTAACATATAATTCAACTCCCAATCTCTTTTGGGTCCAACAATAACCAAATAAACACATTACCACATGTGAATACATGAATTATTTTTACCCCGAACGTGACTTGAAACTGGGACTTATAATTACTAAGCCAAGGCGCTACCAACTACAATACAGAGGGTTAATAGGGAATAGACCTTACAGCTTATATCTGCTATACTAAGAATGAATGCATTCTATCTGAATGCCACTATATTCATATTACAGTTTCCCCAACCACACTCATGGTTCGTTTTAGCATTTAATTCAACTCCCAAACTCATTCGGGACCAACAATAATCAAATAAGCACATTACTATATGTAAAAACATGAATCATATTTACCCCGACTGGGAACAAGTAAGCACATTACCATATGCAAAACATGAATCACATTTACCCCGACCATGATTTGAACCTAATACTTATAATTACTAACCCAAGCTTCTATCAACTACACCACAGAAGGTTGAAAGGAAACAGACCTTACAGCTTATATCTGATATACTAGGAATGGATGTATTTTATCTGAATGCTACTATGTTCATATTACAGTTTTCCCAACTTCGCTCATGGTTCGTTTTCGCATTTAATTCAACTCCCAATATCATTCAGGACCATCATTAATCAAATAAGCACATTGCAATATGTTAGCACATAAATCATTTTTTCCCAGCCGGGACTTGAAACTGGGGCTTATAATTACTACGCCAAGGTGCTACCAACTACACCACAAAAGGTTAAAAGGAAATAGACCTTACAGCTTATATCTGCATTACTAGATTCCCCAACCTTGCCCGTGGTTTGATTTAGCAATTAAGTCATCTCACAATCTCATTTGGGACCAACAATAACCAAACAAGCACCTTATCATATTTAAAAACATGTATCATATTTACCCCGACCGGAACCAAGTAAACACATTACCATATGTATAACATGAATCACATTTACCTCGACCACGACTTGAACATGGTATTTATAATAACTAACCTTAGGCTCTAGCAACTACACCACAGAGGGTTGAAAGGAAACAGACCTTATAGCTTATAGCTGCTATACTAGGAATGAGCATATTCTATTTGAATGTCTCTATGTTCAAAATGCACTTTCCCCAACCTCACACGTGGTTCGTTTTTGCATTTAATTCAACGCCCAATTTCATTTGTGACCAACAATGACCAAATAAACACATTACTATATATGAAAGCATGAATCATTTTTCCCCAACCGGGATCTAAACCTTAGACTTTCAATTACTAAACCAAGGTGCTACCAACTGCACCACAGAAGATTAAAAAGAAACAAACCTTACAGCTTATATCTGCTATACTAGTACTGAACGCATTCTATCTGAATGCCACTATGTTCATATTACAGTTTCCCTAACATCGCTCGTGATTCATGTTAACATTTAATTCAACTCCCAACCTCTTTCGTGACCAACAATAGCCAAATAAGCACATTGCCATATGTGAATACATGAATCATTTTTATCCCGACCGGGTCTTGAAACTGGGACTTACAATTACTAAGCCAAGGCGCTACCAACTACACCACAGAAGGTTAATAGGAAATAGACCTTACAGCTTATATCTGCAATACTAAAAATGAATGCATTCTATCTGAATGCTACTATGTGCATATCACAGTTTACCCAACCTTGCTCATGGTTAGTTATAGCATTTAATTCAATTCCCAATCTCATTTGGGACCAACAATAATCAAATATGCACATTTCCATATGTAAAAATATGAATCATATTTACAGCGACTGTTAACAAGTAAGCATATTACCATATACAAAACATGAATCACATTTAATCCGATCAGAACTTGAAACTGGTACTTATAATTACTAACCCAAGGCTCTACCAACAACACCACAGAGGTTGAAAGGAAACAGACCTTACAGCTTATATCTGCTATACTAGGAATGAACGTATTCTATCTGAATGTCGCTATGTTCAAATTACACTTTCCCCAACTTCACTTGTGGTTTGTTTTTGCATTTAATTCAACTCTGAGCCCCACTCGGGACCAACAATGACCAATTAAACACATTAACATATGTGAAGACATGAATCATTTATACCCAGACGGGGACTTGAACCTGAGACTTTTAATTACTAAGACAAGGCGCTGTCTACTACATCATAGAAGATTAAAGGAAAATAGACTTTACAGCTTATATCTGCTATACTAGGAATGAACGCATTCTATCTGAATGCCACTATGTTCATATTACAGTTTCCCTAACATCGCTCGTGATTCATTTTAACATTTAATTCAACTCCCAACCTCTTTCGTGACCAACAATAGCCAAATAAGCACATTGCCATATGTGAATACATGAATCATTTTTATCCCGACCGGGTCTTGAAACTGGGACTTACAATTACTAAGCCAAGGCGCTACCAACTACACCACAGAGGGTTAAAAGGAAATAGACCTTACAGCTTATATCTGCAATACTAAAAATGAATGCATTCTATCTGAATGCTACTATGTGCATATCACAGTTTACCCAACCTTGCTCATGGTTAGTTATAGCATTTAATTCAATTCCCAATCTCATTTGGGACCAACAATAATCAAATATGCACATTTCCATATGTAAAAATATGAATCATATTTACAGCGACTGTTAACAAGTAAGCATATTACCATATACAAAACATGAATCACATTTAATCCGATCAGAACTTGAAACTGGTACTTATAATTACTAACCCAAGGCTCTACCAACAACACCACAGAGGTTGAAAGGAAACAGACCTTACAGCTTATATCTGCTATACTAGGAATGAACGTATTCTATCTGAATGTCGCTATGTTCAAATTACACTTTCCCCAACTTCACTTGTGGTTTGTTTTTGCATTTAATTCAACTCTGAACCCCACTCGGGACCAACAATGACCAATTAAACACATTAACATATGTGAAGACATGAATCATTTATACCCAGACGGGGACTTGAACCTGAGACTTTTAATTACTAAGACAAGGCGCTGTCTACTACATCATAGAAGATTAAAGGAAAATAGACTTTACAGCTTATATCTGCTATACTAGGAATGAACGCATTCTATCTGAATGCCACTATGTTCATATTACAGTTTCCCTAACATCGCTCGTGATTCATTTTAACATTTAATTCAACTCCCAACCTCTTTCGTGACCAACAATAGCCAAATAAGCACATTGCCATATGTGAATACATGAATCATTTTTATCCCGACCGGGTCTTGAAACTGGGACTTACAATTACTAAGCCAAGGCGCTACCAACTACACCACAGAAGGTTAATAGGAAATAGACCTTACAGCTTATATCTGCAATACTAAAAATGAATGCATTCTATCTGAATGCTACTATGTGCATATCACAGTTTCCCCAACCTTGCTCATGGTTAGTTATAGCATTTAATTCAATTCCCAATCTCATTTGGGACCAACAATAATCAAATATGCACATTTCCATATGTAAAAATATGAATCATATTTACCGCGACTGTTAACAAGTAAGCATATTACCATATACAAAACATGAATCACATTTAATCCGATCAGAACTTGAAACTGGTACTTATAATTACTAACCCAAGGCTCTACCAACAACACCACAGAGGTTGAAAGGAAACAGACCTTACAGCTTATATCTGCTATACTAGGAATGAACGTATTCTATCTGAATGTCGCTATGTTCAAATTACACTTTCCCCAACTTCACTTGTGGTTTGTTTTTGCATTTAATTCAACTCTGAACCCCACTCGGGACCAACAATGACCAATTAAACACATTAACATATGTGAAGACATGAATCATTTATACCCAGACGGGGACTTGAACCTGAGACTTTTAATTACTAAGACAAGGCGCTGTCTACTACATCATAGAAGATTAAAGGAAAATAGACTTTACAGCTTATATCTGCTATACTAGGAATGAACGCATTCTATCTGAATGCCACTATGTTCATATTACAGTTTCCCCAACCTCGCTCATGGTTCGTTTTAGCATTTAATTCAACTCCCAATCTCATTCGGGACCAACAATAACCAAATAAGCACATTACCATATGTTAATACATTAATCATTTTTACCCCAGCCAGGACTTGAAACTGGGACTTATAATTACTAAGCCAAGGCGCTACCAACTACACCACAGAGGGTTAAAAGGAAATAGACCTTACAGCTTATATTTGCTATAATAGTTTCCCTAACCTTGCTCGTGGTTCGATTTAGCATTTAATTCAACTTCAAATCTCATTTGGGACAAACAATAACCAAATAAGCACATTACCATATGTAAAAACATGAATCATATTTACCCCGACCAGGACCAAGTAAGCACAATACCATATGTAAAACATGATTCACATTTACCCCGACCGTGACTAGAACTTGGTACTTATAATAATTAGCCCAAGGCTCTACCAACTACACCACAGAAGGTCGAAAGGAAACAGACCTTACAGCTTATATCTGCTATACTAGGAATGAACGTATTCTATCTGAATGTCGCTATGTTATATTACGCTTTCCCCAACCTCACTTGTGGTTCGTTTTCACATTTTATTCAACTCCGAATCTCATTTAGGACCAACAATGACCAAATAAACACATTAACATATGTGGAAGCATTTATCATATTTACACAGACAGGGCCTTGAATCTGAGACTTTTAATTACTAATCCAAGGACTTCCAACCACACCACAGAATATTAAAAGGAAACAGACCTTACAGCTTATATCTACGAAGTATGGACGCATTCTATCAGTATGCCACTATATTCATATTACAGGTTCCCCCAACCTCGCCCATGGTTTGTTTTAGCATTTAATTCAACTCCCAATCGCACTTGGGACCAATAATAATCAAATTAGCATATTACCTTATGTGAATACATGAATCTTTTTTACCCTCACTGGGACTTGAAACTGGGATTTATAATTACTAAGCCAAGGCTCTACCAACTACACCACAGAAGTTTAAAAGGAAATAGACCTTATAGCTTATATCTTATATATTAGGATATGTATGCATTCTATCTGGATGCCACTATGTTTATATTACAGTTGCCCCCAACTTCATTCGTGTTTTCATTTTCGCATTTAATTCAACTCCCAATCTAATTTAGGACCAACAATATTCAAAGAAGCACCTTACCATATGTAAAAACATTAATCACTTGTACATCGACAGGGACTTGATCCTAGGACACATAGACATAATCATTATATCTAAAAACTCATTTGAATGGCGACTGTTCATTGACAGCATAAAGCGATGCTTAAAGAGTGTCCTTCTCAACAATGGCAATTTATATGTTGCATTTCCAATTGGGCATTCAGTTTGTCTTCGTGAAGAACATGGAGACATAAAGAGAGTCATTGAGTTGTTGCAATATCACAAACATAATTGGATCATCTGTGTTGCCCTTAGAATGGTATGCTACCTTCTTGGTCAGCAACACGATTACTCCAAGTATCACTGCCTTTTGGGTATGTGGGATAGCAGAGCTCGAGAGAAGAATCGGGTGGAGAGGAATTGGCCTCAAATATCTGACCTCAAACCTGGTGATCCCAACATTCTACATTAGTCACTCGTTGACAGAAAGAAAATTACATTCCCACCTCCACACATTAAACTGGGTTTAATGAAGCAATTCGTTAAAACATTGAAAACTGAAGCTGACTATTTCAAATACCTCATTTTGGCATTTTCTGGCTCGTCAATTGAAAATATCAAGGCTGGTGTGTTTGATGGTCCACAGATTCGGCAGCTCATCAAAGATGATCACTTTATCGGGACAATGTCAGAACTTGAAAAGAATGCTTGGTCATCTTTCAAGGACCTTGTCAAGTAATTTCTTGGGAGTAAACGAGCCCAGAATTACACCGAAATTGTCCAAAAACTATTAGAGAGCTACAAAATGCTCAGATTCAACATGAGCATCAAGTTGCATTTTCTGTACAGCCATCTTCCGAACATTTCGGAAAACCTTGGTGAAAGTCAGCGATGAGCAAGTAAAACAATTCCACCAAGATTTGAAGGTCATGGAAGAACGGTGTCATATGATGGCTGACTACTGGTGGAACATAAAGCGACATTGTCCACAAACTGAACACCCCAGGAAAAGTTATAAGTGTAAATTTTTACCTAAAGTAATTGCACACAATTTGACTTACAGTAATAATATTCTTTGTATGAACAAAATATATTTGTGCAAACATTACAGCCAAGCAATGCTAAACTATGTTTCACCATATGTAAATTTTTAAAGCA